GTATTATGGTCTATACTGCTACTGAAAAAGCCAGACGTAGTCACTTTAATCGTTTTTGGTACCTTCACCATCTTTTCATTCCTTTCTTCGGTGCTTGGTCTTTTCACGGTGCTTTCTGTATGATCAAACCCGATCGTCCTCCTTTTTGTAGCGATATTGCTGTATTTTGGAAATATTGGATCGCTTCGGGTGTTATTTATGTTAGTGAACGTATTCTCCGTGAAATAAGAGCTCAACAAAAAACTTATATTTCAAAAGTTGTCATGCATCCTTCTCGTGTGGTTGAAATTCAAATTAAAAAAAACATTACTACAAAAGCTGGTCAATATATCTTTTTATGTTGTCCGGAAATTTCTTATTGGCAATGGCATCCATTTACTTTAACTTCCGCTCCCGAAGAAGGTTATATTTCGGTTCATATCCGTGTGGTTGGTGATTTTACTGAAGCTTTGGCCAAAAAACTTGGTTGTAATTTTGATGAAGAAGCTGAGTTACGTAAAAAAAATAGAGACCGCATAAAAAGTCAATATGATGGTATTGATATTTCTAGTGATAATCCTAAACTATTAAAAGTTTTACCTCGTGTTATGATCGATGGTCCTTTTGGTAGTGCTTCTGAGGATGTGTTCAAATTTGAAGTTGCTATTCTTGTTGGTGCTGGTATTGGTGTCACTCCATTCGCAAGTATTCTTAAAAGTATTTGGTAAGTTTCATATATATATATATATATGTATTATTGATTTATTTATTTATTTATTGATTTATTTATTATCACTTTTGAATATATAGGTATCGTGTCAATTATCCAAGAAAATCTACCAAACTTCGTAAAGTATACTTCTTCTGGATTTGCCGTGATTATGATGTGAGTTTTTTTTTATTCATGACTATTCATTATATTAATGCATTGCTTATAAATATATAAAAATATTAAATATTAATAATCTTAATTTTTTTTTTAAAAAAAAAAGTCTTTTGAATGGTTCCAATCGTTATTGTTAGCTCTTGAAGAACAAGATATCGAACAATTTATTGAAATTCATACATATTTAACTGGCAGATTACGTCATTCAGAAGTAGGAAACATTCTTGTTAATGATGACGGTAATGTAAAAGATACCATCACAGGGCTTAGAGCGCCAACACATTTTGGACGTCCAAATTGGGATAAAATTTTTTCAAACATGAGAGATCAATATCCGGCTACCGATGTAGGTGTATTCTTTTGTGGTCCAGTACCGCTTGGAAAAGCACTACATGAAAAATGTAATTTATGGAGTCAAGGATTTGAAGATGGAACAAGATTTTTCTATGGAAAAGGTGTGCTTTCTCGATTTTATAATAAGTTTACTATGAATTAACATGAATCTAATTTACTAATTATTTTTATTTTTTATTTTTATTTTCATTTTTAACAGAGAATTTCTAAATTTAACATTTTTAAAAGCATTTATTTAACAATGCATAAAATGTAGAAAATGGAAATGATAAAAATGTATTGTAGCCAATAAAAAAAATAATATATAAATACATCAAAAATTTTCGAAATTTTATAAACTCTTTTGTTAAAAAAAAATGGCTTTATTAGAAATGCTTGTCAATATTTCTAGTATTAACGTTAACAATTAACTATTTACTGTATTTAATACGTACGTACCAACTTAAATTATTATTTATCATTTCCTAAGATCAATTATATATCTAATATCGAATTTACCTTTTCACTGATATTGTATATATAAAAAGTTAATAAAGTATATATATATATATATTGATTTAAATTTGAATTACTTTATACGTATAGAAATTTACAACTATGTTTTTAAAAGGTGTTGTTTATAATCGTAAGGTTAATGGCATAAAAGACGTTGCGTAGGCTAATAAAAAAAGAAAAGCGTATAGTC